AAGACAGCGGACTCAACCCCTGCCAGCGCACCGTGCACCATCCATCAAGGCAAGACCAGGGAACCGGCAATCAGTCCCAAAGCACCCACTGAGGCATGGCAGGGATCGAACCTGCAACCTCTGTCTCCGAAAAACGGGTATATTTCGAGATCTTCCTGCAAAGTGCAGGTGCCCCATCTGGCAATGCTCGAACCCGCAACCTGTGGGAGAACGCACACAGGCACCCAATCCATCTGGGCTACACTGCAGACGCAGTGTGCGAATGACCCTAAGCTCAACGCTGAAAATCCATAATCTGAAAGTTCATAATATCAAATATTCAGTGTATCACACCAGAGTGCAGGCTCGAAGATTCGAACCCACACCCTAAGCCACAATGGTGAAAATACAGAATAATACAGCGCACCAGAGTGCAGGCTCAAAGATTTCAACCCACACCCTAAGCCACAAAAGTGCATTTTTTTTTTTTTTTTAAAGGGTTGTAGAGGTGTCGGGGTTTATGGCTCAGGGAGGATGTCCGCCAGAGGGCTTTCCGCGCCGGGGTCAGCCCTACTGACGGTGCAGCGGGCCCACCCACTACCCAGTGATCTGTCAAGGAGAGAACTCACAATCCTCGCTACCCACCCGGGAGTATCAGCCCAGACCGGCGCTACCAGGCCGCTGCGCCAGGGGTCACCCAGCTCCAACTCAGGGCTTCACCTCCCTGCACTGGACCACCTGAGCTAGGGGCCATTCGCAGTTTCTCTATAAAAGGGTTGTGAGGTGTTGGGGGTTCAACTCCTAGGGGGAAGCCGGCGGGAGGCTTCATGCACCAGATTCAGCCAACCCGTCGGCGTGGTGGCCTCACCCACACACAGAATCACTCAAGTCAAGGCTCAAACCTTAGCCACACCCACACTCTGCCGGTATCACCCAGGACTGGTGCTACCCAGGCGCCGCGGCTCGGATCAACCCCCTCCGAACTCAGGGTCCTGCATCCCCATTGCACCCTGCCGGGAGGCTGCAGTAGCACCACAGTCGCCTGGTGCGCAGGGGATGAGCGTCACTCCTGCTAGGGGGGGGGGGGKGTCCAATCACTCCCGGCAGCACTCCTCTTACTGAGTCCACCCCCATACAGGGCTGAATCCCCCCATGGCCTCAACAACCCCAAGGGGAGTGTGCACGCTCAACCGTTACGGGGACCCAGGATGTACGGTTGGGGAGCAATTCCTGATGGGGCACCGGATGGGTGGATCCCCCAGTTCAGGTATTTGCCAAGTCCGGTTGTACATCGGTACCCCTGGAAGCATGCACACTCAGTGTGTGAATGGCACGTGCATCCTGTCCAATGCCCGTCGGCGGCATATGCGCCATCATGTGCATTTCCAACCGTTGCGCTAACCACTGCGCCATCATGCCATTCGCAGTTTCTCTTTTTAACACACACACACTGCCCCATCTATTCTGGGGGGCAACAGTCCGGTTGCTAATCACTGGCAAGCAGAAAGACAAAGTTCGAAAAGAAAGAACGAACAGAAGGCAAAAAGGGAGAGGGGGTATCCCCCCAGGCCCCCGCAGGGGACTGAGGGGCAGCGGCAGTGAAAAGGGGCGGTCGAACTCACTATCTCCCAAAACCCCCTAGTGCCCCCACCGGGAGGCAACAACGCACCCAGTCATGGACGCACCAACGAAGCAAAGGACCCGTGCTAGGATCACCCCTTTAACACCTCACACCCCCCGGGTATCCAACCAATCCCACTAATGGTCACGTCTTTCGCGCCTCCCTTCTACAGATTCCTCTACTTCACACTTTTTCGACTAATTCCAGTTAATTCGTGGTTTTTTTTGCTCGTTACTCCATGCTGGTACTTCATATCCCCGCCTCCCACCCCCTTCCCCCCTCCCCCCGGAACACCCTCAAACCCCGCGGACCAACCCCTTCCCGAAAGAGTTCCTACCTCACCCTATTCATCAAGAACACCCGCCAGACCCTCCCATCCCTAAGCTTACCCGTCCTACCCCGTCCTATTCCCACCAAAGCTCCACTCTTTACACCTAAAAGACAACAACCACACCTTCCCTAGTGCCACGAATCCCTACCCTTGACCGCAATCCTCCACCTAGTCATCATCGTCCCACATAAGCTCCCAAGACCACTGCCCAACTTGAGCCCCTACTGTAATCACCCTGTGGTAAGGCTTCCAGGCTTTAACAAAAAATGACCAGCCACCCTTCCGTCTTCTAGAAACATCTGCAGAGATCGCTGTTCGCAGATTCCGCACCGTCCAGGCTCGTAATGTCGGGAAGGATGGCGGCACCCCCTCCCGCAACAGCCTTGCTCGCATGGTCCACACAGCCGTCCAAAACGCTGCATGAACAATATGAGCAGCGTAAGCCTCGGCCATCCCTGTTACATCCCCCGAAAGGAGAAGCCCCACCAAGACCGGGGCGCTCCTTCTCCGAACACCAGGGAGCTGTGTGTCCGATTTTGGATTCAACGCGGGTTCCGCGTTGAATTATTGAACACTCGTTGAATTCGCGTTCAACTCCCGTTCAAAAGCGCGTTGGACGGGGGAAAACGGGGTCCGCGATGATTTTTTTCCTAGGCTAAACATAACTGGAAAAAAACAAATAAAAAAAATGGGGTTGTAGATCTTTTTGAGGTCTACGACCCCATATTTTTATTTTTATTTTTTGAGCTTTTAATATATTTTTAAGAAATCAAAAACATAAGCACACTGAAAAAAAACAAAAACAAGAAATGACATGAGTCTTTTTTTTTTGGGTTTCACAAAGATTTGTTAAGGGCTAAAACAAATACAGAAAAACAAAATAAAAAATATAGGGTTGTAGATCTTTCAAAGATGTACAATAAAATATTTTTTTTTTTTTTTTTTAATAACTTCGTGTATTTTTAAAAAAATCAAAACCATAAACAACATATTTTTTCGCCTGCATCGCTTAGGTAATCTTGCAAGGTAGACTCCCTGCTGGGTAGACTCCCTGATTTGGCCTGCTTTGTTCACTGTTGTTGCAACCACCACCATCAGATCATTTGTGATCTGATGGCTGGGAAGCACTCTGCTGAGATTTCCAGTGGGAGGTCTCTGTTTCTTTTTTTTTTTTTTGCCTTTCTCCTGTTTTCTCAGCCCAGAAACTCGTAATGAACCTGTCAGACGGCTGCCACTCAGTGTCACACTGGATCGGCCACACTCCAATCTGTCTGGTAATGGGACTATGCCCTCAGCTGGTGCTTGTCAATCTTGTCTGGTCGAGGTTGCCCTCAGATGGTCCTGAGTGCTGGTCACACTGAGGTAGGATAGTAGGGACAGGGGGTGTGCTGGGCCTTGTCCTCTACAACACCCAGAGGTAGGATAATAGGGATAGTAGGGACAGGGGGTGTGTCGGTCACACTGAGGTAGGATAGTAGGGAGTGGGGGTGTACTGGGCCATGTCACAGTGGCTGTTGCTACCAGCAATCACCGCGGGTCTGGTCCTTGGCCTCTACAACACCCTGGGCTTTCAAAAAAAAAAAAAAAAAAAAAAAGAATGGATCTTCTGCTACAACGTGGAATAATACACCTCCATATGTTTTGTCTTATGTGCATGTGGTGAGTACTAAGGGCCACTGCATGTATTCCTAAGAAAAGAAAAACGAGAAAACAAAAGAAAAATGAAAAAACAAAAAGAAAAACAGAAAACAACAGAAAAACGAGAAACAAAGAATTACAAGAAAACAGACAATTAGTGACCCATAACTATTATCAGTGTGGTGCACAGACCGGAATTCGAATCCAGACTATATATTCTAGGCCCACGCGGACAGATTACAAGTCCAACGTGCATCTCTGCTCCACGAGGGGTCCTTGCTAATATGCAGGGGCCCTTTGGACATGAGACTGGACGAATAGATGGAGCACTTGGTAAAAAAAAAAAAGAAGGACATGCACCAACATGCACACACATGTGCTCAGAGTGTTGGCGTACGGGGTGGCCCTATCTTTTTTCCCTCTTGCAGTTTGATTTTCGAAAGGGAGGGGCATGGTTGGCCACCCCGCCCTGTTAACAGGGGTCAATTTTTTTATTTTTACCTTTCTCTGTTTTTTCTCTTTGGGTGTGTAGGGACATGTGTCCGAGGCCCAAGGCGCGAATTCCGTTTTTCGGAATTCGACTCAACATCCCTGTTTTCGTGTTAAACGGGATTCAACGGGGGTCCCAGGACCCGTTGAACGGGGCTACGGGCGTTGAATTCTGCCCGTTCTCCGTTAAAAAGATACACAGCCAGGGAGGGGGACCGCATCCCCCAGTGAGTCCCACCATCCCAAAAGGCCACTTGCGGCGCACATTCCCGCCATACATGAGGCAAGGATTCCACATCATCCTGACAGTGCCTGCAACACCTGTCTTTGTGCGAACACTTATCTGCCAACCACTGATAAGTGGGCTGCGCCAACTGAAGGCAAAKCCACAGACCCCCCCCGCATGCTTCTGATCCGGGAGGAGGGCAAGTACCCTGCAAGCCTTCTGCCAAGTCAAGACATCCCAACAAAGCAGGGCTTTCTGATCCAACCATCCCCTCTTCCTCCATCTCTCCCGCATTGCATCAACCATGTCCATCGGAACTAATAGGGACCTGTAAATCACTTTCGTAGTTACCTGGTGAATTTTGCAACGCTTCATGAGTGAATTCCTCGGTGCCCATTCCCAACCAGATGGATCCCACGGGAGCTGGAGTGGCGTGTAGGCTAACTTGAAGGCACGAAACCCTCCTCCCTTGGAAACCAACTGATCCCTCAACACCACAAATGACCTGATACACTCCTCATGAAGCCTACCGTCCCGCTCCGGCCGTCGGACAAGGACATCACCCAGCGCTTTACATGGGCCAACATCCTCCCAGGCCTCCACCCCATACCACTGAGAACCCAACTTCTCTGCGAGCTGAAAGAAAACAGTCGGACGGCCCTGCCCTTCCAAGATGACCCATTCCCCGTGCATCCGGTCCTTGGATATAAGACAATCGATCCAATCTTGCGGAATCGCTTGTTTAATCTCCTCTAACCTTTCCTTCTTCTTCGGTTGATGCTCCAATTGACGCAAAACCTCATCTTCTTTCCTCCACGTGCCCCCTTGCACGTCCCATATATCAACAACCCGATAAACACCACATACCAACCACTGCTTCCCAAAAGCGCTCGGGCAGTCCTGCCACACAAAGGGGACGCCCGATTGGTGTATGAAACGGTTCCCCGCCACTTTTGCAAGACACCCGACCACAGCGCCCCCCACCGAAGACCTTGAAGAAGCTGAGGGTGAAGAAGGGCCGTCTCAACATCCGCCGGGTGTACTCTGATAGCCTCCACCATTTCTCGCAAAGTGATGAACTTCCAAGGCTCCGTATCATCCTCAAGGAGGAACCACAAAACAGTCCGCATCTGCAACGCAGAAAGCTGAATACGGGGGTCGAACAAAACCAGACCCCCAGCCGATCTGGGTTGCACCAGCTTTTCCCACCGCACCCTGTAGATGAGGTGCGGAACGCAAAGGTCATCTTTCCACAGGAACTTCCTCAAGGCTCGTTTATAATCCCTCCAAGCCCTCTTGGGAGGATCCGAAACCGCGCCCGCATAGCACAGTGTCGCCGACACCACATTATTAGCGATAAGCACTTTCCCAAACACCCCATGCGACGCCTTCTTTGCCCAGGCCACCATGCGTACCACTGCCTGGTGCAACAAATCCTCAAGCTGTTGGCCAGAAGAGAGTGCCGCAGGAACCAATATACCGAGGTACAAAAACTGGTCTCCGGGCGATTGGGTCCTCATCCCTTCAAACACCGCTCCATCCACTCCAACCGGAACCACTACCACCGACTTCCCCCAATTAATCCTTGCACCCGCATACTTTTCAAAGAGAGCAATCTCATCCCTCAAGGCCAAAATGCTCTGCTGCGTCACCCGTGATACCGCTGTGGTGTCATCAACAAACGTATTGGACTTGACCTGGCCCCCTCCAGGCAGTTCAAAACCCACAATTCGGTCGTCCGCACGAATCATTTCATGCAAGTGCTCCACATACAGGATGTACAGAGCAGGGGAAAGGGGACAACCTTGTCTCACAGACCGTGTAACCCTCAGTGGAGATCACAGGAAACCATTAACCTGCACCCTTGCCACTACCATCCCCAACACCCCCTCAACAACCTTCACAAAACCCTCCCTAAAACCTCTACACCTCATGCCTTGCAAAAGAAAAGGCTACCTGACCCTGTCATAAGCCTTTTCAAAATCCAAGAAGAGAGTAGCTAACGGGGGTTGAGACTCCTGAGCCCTTTCCATGATCTGGCGAACCAGGAGGACGTTCACGAGGATCTATCTGCGAGGGACAAAACCAGTCTAGGTGGGATGAACAATGGCGGGCAGCACGACAACAATCCTATTGGCGCACCTTCGCATAAAGCCTGTATGGCGCCGATAAAAGAGAGATGGGCCTCCAATTCCTTATTTCCTCAATACTCCCCTTCTTGTACAGGAGGACAATCGTGGCCTGGCCAAAAGTAGCTGGAGGAGCCTCACCTCCTGAGAAAAGACCATTAAAAGCCTCACACAAAAACGGAAGGAGAGGGCGTGCTGCAATCATCAAATATTCGGCCGGCAAACCATCCGGGTCCGGCGCCTTACCTTTGTGCATCCCGGACATCGCCTCTGCTACTTCTTCTTGGGTAATGGGTGCATCCAAAAAAAACTTATGCTCGGGTGACACCTGAGTGGCACACTTGTCTCGTACATCCTTAACCGGCACAACTGCCATGTCCTCCTCAGACCAGCAATCATCTTCACAATACAGATTCGCATAAAACAGTTCAACATACTTGATGATGTTGGGAGTAGTATCCGCTTTAGCCTCTAGCGGGTCAAAAGTGTGGCCCATTGTCACAATCAACGGGAGTAGTATCCGCTTCATTTGGGCGAAGAAAACCCTGGACATGCGTTCCGCATCCCGTATCCATTTAGATTTTGAATTGAGACCCAACAACTCCGCATCCCGAGCCTGCCAATTAGCCCATTCTGAATACAAAAGAACCCACTCTGCCCACCATTCATCCTCATCCCCTGGTGGCGGGACTTCACCCAATGGCTCCATCCGGCGCAGGTACTCCTGACCTGTTTGATCGTGCGCTTGCCTTGAAGCTTTAGCCTTTTTTTTCATGATCCCCACCAAAGCCTGAACACCATGATGAAGATGCTCCAGGGGCGACACATGTTGAGGACGTTGCGGGAGCCAATGTTCCCACTGCTGCTGAACAAGTTCCCTATTGAGGGCATCAGACAATAACCACGTCGGGGCAGACATCGGAGGGGGTCTCCTGGCCACTCAGGGATGCAATGCCAACGAAACGACAATAACCTTGTGATCCGATATTGGTACCAGCTGCTTGTCAAAGCCCTGAAGACTCGGCAAGAGATCATTTGAAACCCACTCCATATCCAGCCTGCTTCGCAAAAGAGGGGATGTCCCAAACCAGGTGAAACTCCTGTCATCCGAGGAAATTCTGCGGAAAGCATCCACCCGGGCCAACTCAGCCATTAAACCACAGAGGGTCTTCGCATCCGGTCTTGGATCCCCCGAAACAACCGAGTCCATCCCCAGACGGATGATTGTGTTGAAGTCCCCTATCAATAACACAGCGTCCGTCTCCGGAAGGCAAGCCGCAAAATTCCTCCAAAACCACTTGCTCCGTGACATCCACTGGAGCATACACAGTGCCCACCAGCAACTTCTTCCCCCCTTCCTCAATGAACACCCACGCCCACCTTCCCAACGTATCCCAAAAGTAGTCCAGAACCTTCCCCGTGAAAAACCTTGTCAGAATTATTGCAACCCCCCCTTTCGTCCCCACCGCCGAGGCCCACAGCTGGAAGGGGGCCCCAAAACCAAATTCCGGGAGAGACAACCGCCCCCCCCTCATCCTAGACTCAGAGATCTTCGTCTCTGAAGGCACAACACAAACAACCTAACTCTGTTAACTATCCTCTTGACTTCCTTAGCTTTAGTTCTGACTGACCGATACCCCAAGCCTCTAACATTTAATGAACCCACTTTAAACATAAGCAAAAAGCAACAGTAATAATGACAAGGGTGCCATACCCACCAACCCTTCAACACACTCCCATAGAATGACAGAAAGACCGAGTTACCCTCGGCCACTTCCCCGGGATCGATCCGAACGCGATATCCGAACCGAGACTCTCGACTTCCTTCGCGGAACCACTGGGCCATTCTGCCTATTAGAGGGGCGCGTTTGCCCAAACCTTACGGAGGAAGTCCTAGAAGCAGATCCTCGCGGAGGCTGGACTCGACTCCGCGGACCGTACAACCATTCATCAATCGAATACCAAAACCTAGTGCTTGAAAAATGCTTAGCCGTTGGCATATGCCTATCAAGGTCTTTGAGGATCCGCAAGGGTGCCGACATGGCTGTGACTGCTGCATACTCTTCCGCCTCCAAGTCAAGGACCAGCGCAAGGTTCCGCCAACCAAAAGTAGGGGCCGGCAAAACAATCCCCTGTGAGCCCTCATACTTTGCCCGCACAAAAAAGCAGTATAGACCCACCGAAAAACCACGATTAGTAAGGGCCAACAACCGGATGGCAGAGATACCCGGAATCATCGCCACCTCAGCCGCAGCCCCCAACCATTCTTGAGCTACCAACAAGGCTCATTGCTGGGTAGGCATTGCAGACAAAGCAATCATGGGGAACCGTGCATTATGTACCCCCGCCGATGCCGACACAGTAAGTACCTGCAACACCGACTCAGCCTCCATAAAAACCAACGACACTAAATACAAACGTCCTTGTGAGAGCATACCTTCCAAGACGCCGTCCAACAGCTCATCTGCGACCTTTCACTAAAAACATCTCCCTCTCTTGGATCCATGTTCCTCCCAGCCGTTCTGGGCTCTGGCTCCTCCTCCCGACCTTCTTCCTGCACACGGCGTGCGGGGTCCGGAGACGATAACCTCACCCGCCCTCGAGGCAAATCGGGCGAGGGGGAGTGCTCGCCGGGCAAAGTCCTCAGCGGCGCCCTAATCTCTTGGCACGATATTGACTGAACAGGCACCGCGTGCGAGCCTTCCTCGTCACTTACTTCAATAACTCGGTCAAGTCGAGTGAGGACCACAGGCCGGCTAGTCGACCGCACGTTAGACGGGGGGCCCATGCCCTGCGAAGGGCCACGAGGCAGACTCCCTTCCCTTATCACCGGCTGCCCCCCATCCGTCCCTGGGATCACCAGCACCCCTCCCTTACACACTTCTCTTACCTACTTGGGCGGCTCATCCTCCTCCGAAGTAGCAGAGCCCTGCGCCATCAACTGCTTTCCCTTCCTACTAAATTCAGCCTTCCCCTGCGACTTCCCCTTCCTAGCTGACTTTCGAGAACAAGAACACTTCTTGTTCGAAGGTCCTTCCCCAAATTCCTCCTGAAGCCTTCTCCCATCACACATGTCACCCCGTAACAGCCCCGCTGCTGCTTTCAATAAAGGGCAATCAGTCTTATCCTCCTGCAAGGGAGGATCATTCTCTCTTACAACATCGCCCTCCTGAACGGGCGGCTGAAGTATGCCCTCTCGTGTAACCGGTTCCTCGATAAGCCATCCTCCCGCCGGCACCCGAGAAGAGGGACCAGCTTCATCCATCAACCAACCACCAGCCGTTCCCTGAAACGTAAGCGAATGACATGCCTCGATGTTTACTCTGGAAATGGAAATCGAGGCCGTACTATGTATTACTGACAAGTGCGAGGGCCGCGAGGGGCCGATCGGAGCAGGGTGCTGGGCTGTCACCGAAAGCAACGAAGCTTCAACCATGGGCACAGCCGGCAACGAAGTAACCACAAGGCATGCCGCAGAGGGCTGGGCCGATTGCCGCGGCGAACACACAAGTTGTTGCGAACATGAATCAGCCACGCCCTGGGTTTTCACCTCTACTTGCAAACCCGACGGATTCTCCCCCCGGGTAACCCTGTCCTGCTGACCACCACCACCCTGCTGCAGTGGACAACTTAGTTGCCCATCCGGGGCGCTCGCCTCATTCCGATGTTCACCCATTGACCGAGTTAGTTGCCCAGATCCTTCCTCATCCCGGAGTTCACCTCTCAACCGACTCGATCCTCCATCCTGCCGCTGACCCAAACCGCCTTGGAAAGGAGGGGGATCATTCTGCTGAGGCTCATTGACCATTCCCATCACCGGTCTCTGGGAAACATCTTGCATGATGGCATCCTCATGTCCTTGATGACCTTCAGCAGGCAATTGTTCCGGAGCCACCAACCCTTGCGGAGTTAATCCTTCTTGATGGTGACCTGCCACTTCCCCCTGCTGCGACCCCCCCACTCCTATATTCGATAACAGCGCCTGGCCCGCCTGTACAAGGGGCGGCATCCCTACTCCTTCAGCCAATACCCCAGGCATGACCTCTCTCCGACACTCCGAGGGATGATTGCGCATATCACTCTCCTCCCGCCGCGCTCCCGAATGCACGACCCCATGCATCTGGTCCTGAGGCGATGATGGCACCGGCCGAGTTGGCACCCCCACGCCCCCTGAGTCAATACCACTTCCACGTGCCCAGCCCCCACGCACACAACCCCTCAAAGGCGGAAGGAAATGAACTTCGGCCAAACCACACACATCTCCCAAGCTCTCATCAGCCATAATCTCCGCACTAATCGTCACATCTGTCTTCATCTCGAAGAGGACCCAACCCTCAACCTCTTCAACAACAATAACCGAACGAGTCGGGTGTAAACGTATGTGATCTTCCCTACGACGAATCTCTTCCCTCGTTTCCCCCACCGTCAGGCACCGGACCGCGCTAACCAAATGACCATGCCTCCGGTACAGGTCGCACCAGGGAGTCTCACTTGTCACATAATGAACCTCCGGCCGCCATAGCAAGGTATGCCCATTGACAGACGTTCCAAACCAGACCGCCTCAGGGGGGGGTGCAGGTCAAACCGGATTATTTCCTTGCCATTCTCATCATAGGACAAGTGCCCTCATCCTTCAGCTGCCCAAACAGTTGTCGGGCAACCATTCTCAAGTGCAGCCTTGCCAACGGAGGGGGATCCAGAAACTTAACCCATGGATTCCGCCTCTTCTCCATAAGGCGATCCCATTCCAAATCCACCGGTGTCTTCCACTCCGCAAATGAAACCCGAAGCCGTTCGTTATCAATCACAACATCCTCCCCCATCTTAGTATTTAACAACCAATTGCGTAATTGGGTCGTGGGTGCCCAGTAGAAAACCATACCCGGCCCTTCAATGGAAACAAACCCTGGAAAGTTCCTCCTGTCCAACGGAGGCCACGTAGTCTCCCACCTTTTAACAGTATCGAATTTCATCGTGGATGAGAAATCCCTGCTCCGCCCTCCAAAATGCATGACCACCACATGAACTCTCATGTATGTAGCCTGAACCCGCGCCCCCGCATCGCCTATATTAAGGCAAATCTCATCACCCTCCTGCTTATGGGTCGCTGCCATATCATCGAAGAAGGTGTTTGTCAAAACCGCCTTCCAGAACCTCCTCATGAGGTCCCACTCCGAAGTGGCCGCCCTCTCCCTTGCAGCTATCACTCCTTCCCACCAGATCACCGATCAACTCCGTCCACACACGCAGATGCTTCCGAATCACTAGAGTAATACCCGTACCTACCCGTACCAATCCCCCAAGCGGATGCAGCACCTAGATGCAGCGCATGTAAAGCACTTGATGAGGGCGACTCCGCCCCAGCCGCAGGACCCTGTCTCCCCAAGCGAGCCTCAAGCTCCGAACACCGCTGCTTTAAACGTTGCAACCGTGCAAACGGATTCCACCTCCTCAGAACAGCGCTTGTAAGCCCACCAGATCCTAGCCTGCAACCGCACCTAGCTCCAATCACCAAAAGTGCAACCAACACCCCAGAGGCACCGTCCACAGTCAGCCACCAGCGCCACCTACATGCCAAATAGTGCCCGAGATGGAGGCAAATGGAAGATACCTCATACGCACATAGCCATGAAAAAGCCACAATCAAAACACGGCCTAGTTCTGCAACCAAACTCGTAAGGAGAGCATCCAACCAACCAATCAAGCGCCAAACACCTCCACCAACATGTGCCAAACATCGGGCAAGGGTAAACCCAACCCCATACGAGAGTGAGAACGCTTCCTTCTCAAATTTCCCCGCCAAATAAGCTACGAGAATGAAAGTCACCAAAGCCAACAACCTAATCATCTCCATCCAAAACATATCCGTCAGTCGGCGAGCTCCAAGACACCACTCCCTCGCGCCCTCCTGCTCATATACGACCTACCCGGGCATGCACCATGCTTTCCCCAATCAACGGCCAATCGACAGAGCCCCAAACCAGCCAGAGGACCGTAAGTCAACACACCGGCTGAATGTCACAATCGCAACCCCACCACTCGTCCAAAACACACTGACAGCCACCACGCTCTCGACAGTAATTCCCCTTGCAACTGTGAAATCGTCACCTATGGCCGAACGGCTGTCGTCAACAACCAAGGGGCATGTTGGCCAGACTATGCCTCACAAATCGAACGATTCACACTTCCGACGTAATCTTACCGACCCATTGCCCCCTTGGCATGCAGAAAGTCGTCTCCACTCGCGGCCATACGGCCGACGTTGTCGGGCATAGGACATGCCGGCCAAACCAAATTCCACGCGCCGCCTCTTCAGCCGCCAACGGGCACACCTCGGCCACTCTGAACATGACAACCCCACTATCATCTTTCCGCCTTGAAGGCACAACCATGGCACCCCTGCCACCATCACTCCTACCTCCTAGACATGACTCGACACCTAACCAACCTGACTAACCCTCCCAGGGCCAAAGTGTGCACACGCAGTGCAGGCGCCGACGCCACAGTGCAAATTCGCAGTTTCTTTTTTTTTTTTTAACTCACACACAAACATACCCCTTCTATTCACATTGCAAAGTGTTCACACTTAGACGTGCCAGTGCAAAGTGTTCACACTTAGACGTGCATGGCTTAGTCTTTGAGACAAGCATATGACTACTGGCAGGATCAACCAGGTAGCGGGTGTAACGAGCAGCCGCAAGGAGCGATGGTCGAGGTGCACTTAGGCACGTCACGCCGGCCAGCCTACCAAAAGAACGTCGAACAATCGTGGAACGTGCAATGAGTTGCCGAGACGCCGCAAAGTCCGGCTGTTTGAATTGCAGGTGAACTTCCCCTCCGTAGGCCATCTCCAACGGCAAGGTACCGCACAATCCAACACAGCCCGCCGCACCCGCTCACAAGATTGGCTGCGAACAGCACCCGCCCACACCACACCCTGAGATCGCAAGATAACCACACTATCCGAACAACGGCGAGCGTGAAGGAACCACCGACCGCTTCGTCCCACAGTCGGATGCCACCGCCCGCCCAAAACGCACCGACAGCGAAGTGCACCGCCTCATCTCTCTATCGAGAAACGCAGGTGAAGAGAGAAAAACACCTGCCCACACCACACCCTAAGATCGCAAGATAACCACACTCTCCGAACAACGGCGTGCGCGCGAGGGAACCACCGATCGCTTCGGCCCACGCAGCCGGGTACCCCCGCCCGCCCAAAACATATCGACAGCGAAGTGCACGGCCTCCTCTCTGCATCGAGAAACACGAGTCAAGAGAGAAACGAATGCACAACGCATCCAACACGCTCGGCCGGACGGAAAGCCTCCACCCGTGCACGGGGACGCAAAAGGAACACCCCTTCCCCCCTGGATCCACATGCGCCTTTGCCGCGGGCACCACCAACAGAACTCGACGCAGGCGAAACCCAAGAGACAAAGGACAGTAGCCTTCACAGCCCACAACCTAAACGCAGCGGAACCTCAACGCAACACGATCCGTCACAGTGTGCAGCATACCCAGACCACAACATGGGGGACACGACGGGCACAAGCGTGCATTCCAACAAGTCGGGCGGATGACGGGCCCAGCCTTGCGACGCCGTCGGCGGATGCATCACACATCCCACAAGTCTCCGCCCTCACATATAGTAAGCAGCAGGTGCAGGGCCGAGGCCACTTGCGCCACCACTCAATGGCGCCGCTCGGATGGCAAGGAGCACATAGCCTCCTCACCAAGTCACGACACCCCCTCAATACAAACGGAACGTGCCGATGTGAGTGCGGACGCGAAGACAACACCAGTTACACCACAACAAAGCCACAACCACTCTTCCTGAAACCTATGGGATGAGGGTGCCGAAGCTGAGAGTCGGAGACGAGCACCTCCGCCTCCACCACCTGCAAACGACCGCCAACCGGACCGCCGTCGGCGATCAGGCACCAATAATCGCAAGACGATGAGCGAGGGTGAACGCAACGATCCACAACCCAGCACCACGACATAGGAAATCCCCGACAGCTGCGACCGCCACCAGCGACGAGCTAGCTGCCGTGAAAGCCCTCCGAGAGAGACGACCAGTGGCCCGCGCGGTGCCGCAAAAATGTTCGCTCGACCACCAGAGAACGACTCGCCCGTCCCTCGCAAACTGGAAACCACCCRAAGCGTGTGCAGAGAGTCCCTCGTAACTCAAGTGCAAGGTCCCAAAACCCACACCCGGAACGTCGCCATCATCGACTGCACGGGGCCTGCTAAGCACGCGGGCCCCTATAAGAGTGCAAACGGGACTCCGAACCGCCAACCACCGACTGTTTGGCACATCCGGAGAATGCTCACTGAGCCATCCGCTGAGGGACCTGCACATGTCCCTTTCCAGCAAGCTGACTGAACGGACCCCAATGACGATGTCCCGCTCGGGACCTCATCCCTTTCCGCTCTCAATAAAACGCCTCTGGACCTTGGATCCTGGGAGACCCCCTTTTCTCGGGGCCGTTCCTACGCCCAAGTGGCAGTGCGCGGTATCAGCTGCCCCCGCAAAATTAGACACCTCAAAAGTCCATCCCATCTCCGTCCCTTCCACACACAAAGGGATAAGGGGAAGGACCGGGGGAAAAAAAACAAAAAAGAAAGAAAAAGAAAAAAGAAAAAAAAAGGACGAAACAAACAGAGAAAAGGCCAAGCAGCTTCTGTGCCTAGCGACTCAGATCACGCCGTGGTGTGGGAGTGAAAAGTTTACGGAAGTCTGGCAGAATCGTGGGTCCGTTGTGGGGTTATGTATTGGCGAACATGACCGGACACACACTCCAGAAAAAGAACGGGGGAAAGAAAATTCAAGGATGACTTCACAAAATCGTCATTTCATTTTGTGTCGGCCCCAAAAAAACTGCATCCGGCAAAACAAGCGAGGCCGAAAACCCGACGGTCGTAAATACTTCAGTGCAGAGAACACCATAGAGCCAATCGGGTACTGCCTCCAGTGAAGCAGCCCGCCACGGTCACGCGCACGCGCGCGGAGGGCCGGATAGGGCAAGAAGTGCGTCGTTGCGCGTACGCGTGGGGGGGGGGGGGGGGGGGGGGGGGGGGGGGGGGGCACAAAGGGCAAGAAGTGGGCTTTCTGTTCCCAAGGATGGGGGGCGCGCGGCCCCACCAAGATCATGATTACGCAGTCGCGTGGCGAGGGTCACGTAGGGCAAGAAGTGGGTATTTTGTTCCCGAGCCATGATATCACGCACACACATGGGGAGGGCCAGATAGGGTGAGAATTGGCTTTCCAGTACCCAAACACTAGGGGCATGCTTCGCACGCCCCCACCACGATTACGCTTGTCAGACACCCTCTCTCTCTCCCCCTCTACTAAAAATATTCCGTTAAGTTCATTGAATACTTACTTGAGCAAACTTTTATCTATAGAATGAGAAAATTCAGAATTTTGTTTTAA